CCTGGTGGGGCGGAGCCTGCTGGTCAGTGAGCTGCGGACCCTGCTTGGCGCCGGTGACAGCGGGGTCTGCCGTGTCCAGCGACTCGGACATCTTCTCACAGATGACATCCACCAGGCGTTCGAAGGTCTGTTTGACGTTAATGTTGTCCTTGGCGCTTGCCTCAAAGAACTCGAACCCTGTGGTCAGGGGAGGCGGAGGTGAGAACCCGGTCTGCTCCTCGATCTCATTCCCAGAGCAAGCATGAACTGCTTGGAGAGTCCTGCACCAGCCACCTCATTAAAGGCGCTGAGAAGGCCCCAGGGGAAGTTAACAGGGGCCTGAGGGGCCCGCAGGTGGTGTGGTGTGGTTAAAATGCTGGACTCCCACAGGGTCGACCAATGGTTCGAGTCCCAGACCCAGCGGCTTAAAACACACTGGGCGTGTGTGTGCATGCATGCTCAAAATCCCAAGAGGAGAACAGAAAAGGGATTGTGGTGAGATCATCCTCCCTGGGGGGTGATTTCTCACTTTCTGTCTGTCTCTCTCTTAAAAAAAAATGACCTCAGGAGCCAGCAGGTGGTTAAGGTGCTAGACTCCCACGTGGGTGACCATAGTTTGAACCCTGGAGCCGGAGGCTTGAAACTCAGGCTGGTGCATGAGCATGCATGTCCAAACTCCCAAGAGGGGAGTCGGCAGGTGGTGTGGTGGTTAAGGGCACTGGACGCCTACATGGCTGACGGTGGTTTGAGTCTCAGACCTGATGACTTGCTTTCTCACTTTCCCTCCTCTGGTCAAATTGAAATAGATGAATAAATAAAGTTAAATAAAATAATTCTCTTTAAAAATTACCAATAAAAAATAATCCCAAGAAGAGAATGGAGGGGAAGGGATTGCGGCATGGCCATCCCACCTGGGGGGGGGATTTCTCACTTTCCGTCTCTCTATCTCTCTCAGTCTTTCTGGTGAGGATGCATAGCAAAAACCAGCAAAAACCTTTCTGAAAAACAGCGAACTGAGTCAGCTCTGAATTTCCAGGTCCCATTCCCTCTCTCTTTTGTTATTTTTTTTTTTTTTTTTGCCAAAGGGTGTGTGCACCGTTGCTCAAGACAGAGCAAGAGAGAAAAGGAAAGAAAAACCACCCGACAGGAGGAACGGGGCCAAACTGCAAGCTCTTCTCCATTCCTCTTGGGATTTTGGACAAGCGCGCATAGGTAGCTGGTGTTTCTCCATCTGCCAGGTCCAGGACTCCAGCTGCACATTCGGCCATGTGGGACCCAGCTGCCTTAACCTCC